TTGATAATACGTTATTATATATCTTTGAAAATTTCAGACACAAGAGATAATGTGTGATAATTCAATGCTTCTGGTTTATTACTAGTGATTTAAAAATATTTGTGGAAAAACTCAGCATAACTGACCCAAATTGATAAGATATTCAGGGTTTTTGAATAATGAACATCTTCAATATGAGAAATTTGGTATTATTAGGAAGATTTTTGGTCAATATTGATTTAGTTATTATCTCTGACAGCTGCCAGTGGGCATATGTTATCTTGCAAGCTATCTTCACCTCATTTGGAAATTCATCTTGGGAAATAGCATTAGATTTCTGTGCAAGTGCCCATGATTTATTTTCTATTGTTAAGCAGGACAAGCCATTTGTTAGGGATAGTAGGATGCTAGTATAACAAGCAATTCAAACTCTTTGAGCAGTATCTGCTCTCCTTTTACTCTTAGTATTAGGGTGTGTTGAGAAGAGTTCCAATGAAAGCACTGGCTAAAGTCACAGAGCAATAGATCAGCTTATTAATTTTGTGAAAATTATTTTTTAATCTAACATTTGCCAAGAAACTCGGTTTGAATTTTCACAAACAAGGAAAGCGGTTCTGTTTTCTAAATTATAGCAAGAAGATCACAAATGCTCTCTAAGGAAGGAAAGAAAAGGGAAAACTGAATAAAAAAAATTACTGAAATTAAAGGGATTGTCAAGAGGTTTTCTCAATTTTGTAGGTGTATCAGGGACACTGATAGCATCAATTTGTACCGTGCCAATTTGCAACAAGTTGCCTGTTGTGCTTGCATTTCTACTAAAATTAAGTCTTCAATGACGTCACTAATCGCAAAAAATATGCTTTATCACATAAGGCCCTTCGCCCTGACGTCATTTAATGTTATAGCAAATTCTCACGAAAAAAATATTCAATTTTGTCACTGGTGTTTCTACACGGAAGCCATCTTCCCCTGAGAAAAGAAGCTGGCTCGGCTTTTTGACAATATTCAAGTTGAAATGGCGATGTTTTAATTCTTCAATTCATGCTTGTTTTTGAACGAAATCAATGATACACCTTCTATATCATAATGTATTTTCATCGTAACAATGTATTACAATACAAGTCACATCGGCCATACAAAACAAACTTAAACCATATTTTTATTCATATTAAAGGGATAGATTCTCCATTTTGGAGGGTTGATTGGTCTCCATTATATATGTAAATAGTCTTCAGAAGTACTAAAATTGTATGAAAATTGTATAATTCCTTTAAAAATACTTCAAACTAGGAATTTCACTTTCTATTTCTATAAATATCTTTTCTATATATGGCACAGTACAAAAAATGACCAGTGTCTTTTTCACTTTCAAACGCCGATTATTCTAAACACACATGGATTTGAATGCTCCAATTTCGACTGTGAGATGTGAACACTATTACTAAGATAACTTGCCAGGCAAGGTAATATACGCCCACTGGCAGCTATGATTTTGAATAAAAATATTTAGCAGTACAGTAACAATCACCAGTATGAAATATTCAACCTTCAGTCATACACTTCTTTTGAACTCTTTAGGGTGATACTGAATAATATTGAGTATGAGTTATTGCCCTTGTTCTTGTTCAATTTTTAGCTTGTGAAAACTCTAGAAGGCAAATATTCAATCTTGAGAGCAGGACTGAATAATAAAACCAGGTTTTGTCAAAATCCAGCAAGAATCATGTCTTTTAGTGTTTAAGAGCTAAATTTGAAAGCCTTTTCAAGAACAAGGGCAATAACTCATACTAATTATTTGTCAATTCTTCTGATTTTCAATAGGGTTCAACTTTGGGCGATTACGAACACTCACACCAAGTTTCATCAAAATCTGTCAAGAATTGTGCCTTCTAGGGTGTTTACGAACTAAAAATTGAACGAGTGTTCAATGGGAAGGGCAATTACTCCTACTAAATATTTTTCAATTTTTCTTATTTTCAATAGGGTTTATTCGTGGGTGATAACAAACACGCGTGCTAAGTTTCGTCAAAATCCATCAAGAATTGTCTCTTCTAGAATGTTTACAATTGAATGCATTTTCAAGAACAAGGGCAATAACTCATACTTAATATTTTTCAATTGTTCTGATTTTTAATAGGGTTCATCCTTCAGTGATTATGAAGACTCATGCCAAGTTTCGTTAAAATCCATCAAGAATTGTCCCTTCTAGAGTGTTTACAAGCTACAAATTGAACGCGTTTTCAAGAACAAGGGCAATAACTTATACTAATTATATTTTTCGATTCTTCTGATTTTTAATAGGGTTGATCCTTGGGTGATTACGAACACTCATACCAAGTTTTGTCAAAATCCGTCAAGAATTGTGTCTTGTTGTAGAGTGTTTACGAGCAATTGTGGACGGACGGGCATCTGTCCCTTTTTTTCCACTTCAAAGTAGGAATTTTACTCACTATTTCTACTTATGTCTTTTCTAATTTCTATATATCACAGAGTAGTCATTTTAACATTCAAACAAGGATAATTCTGGACACACATGGATTTGAAGCTGTGAACACTATAACTGATTGGCCTAGTTTAAACATTCCCGTTTCTGAGACTAAAGTATGTTTGGTCAAAAAAAATGGCACACCTGTCCCTTTAAGTCAATTCATCCAATTTTTTACATTTGTTGAAATAAATAGCAAAATACTCTTTACCAAATTTACCAAACTAGAATGATAGTACAAATATTTATTATATTGAGAAAAATTCTTTTTTTACTGTTGAGTTGTTTATTTATATAACATGTATACAGTCAAGTAACCTAATTTCGTGGAAACCTATTATTCGTGGATTTCTGGAAAGGATTAATAATTTGCATGAGCAACCTTGCGCGATCTCTGCATCATCCTGATCAACAGAGAAATTCTACCTATCGGAGATAGTTATAGTGAAATGATATTAAAGATAAATACTTAGAGAAGTTAATTATACCACCCGGTATCCATACAACGTGTTTTTCTAGACTTATTTATAGATCAAACAAAAAATCAAACACGAAAATAGGTGACGCATTCTGCCGCCGTTGCCGAGTTGGTTGCTCATGAAATATGGGTCAAAGTGAAGGATTCATTTTGTAGAATATCTGAGGAAACATCTATGACATTCGGTGTTGAATCCTTATATCCACGAAAATAGGGTATACCACTGTATTATTTATTACAGTTTTCAATGCGTGACACATCAATCACATTTAATTAGATATCAACAATAATTTTCAGTTTTCATATCATTTAAACCTAGATCTTCATTTTGTTCAAAAGATCGTTCATATCTTTCTATCTTAAGGTTTGGATCTTTTTCAGGAACAAAGGGATTTTGTAAATAACTGTTCCCAGCAGGATCATCCAATACCAAATGAACATTAAGTCTCTGTCCTTCAATAATTTCATTTAATTTTTCACAAAACTTTTTCAATTTAGAGGAAGAATTATCATGAGAACTATCACCCAATATAAAAGGGTTGGATTTTGCCAGTTGACTTTGAATATTACTAAGCAAGCCCTCAACAGTGGTAAACTTGCCACCTAATGTACCTAATCCAGTCTCTAATTCTAGTTCAGGAATGGCAACCGAGCATGTATCACTTTTCAATACATCTCGTTTCATATCTTCAACTGTCGTAATCTTGAGTGTGATCTTGGTTCCTTTTTCTTCAATACCAGCACCACTTTTGACTTCATTATCTCTATAACCACATGCATCACAATTACAAGCCATTATAACTACTTCTTTAAAATTAGGAATGTCCACTCTCTTCATATTAATAGAACTTGGTGCGTTACAGTTAGGACAATTCATAGGCATAGCCAGCACTTCATCTTTTCCAATGAGGTCTGAAGACAAATCATCATCTACATCTTCATCATCACCAATCCCAATTAATCCATTTTGCTCTGAACTTCTTTTATATCTGTTCACTTTCATATCCGGATCTCTGCTTGGAGCATGAAAATTTTCCACAAAACTGTTACCAGATGGGTCATCTAATATTAAAGTAAATGGTTCTTCAATCACTTTCAATTTCTGTAATTTTCCAACAAATACTTCAATTTTTTCTGCATCTTCAGGGTGCATGATCTTCCTAACAGGCTGATCTTGAAGCAATCCCTCTATTGCCTTATCAATGACACCTTCGACGGTTGTTAATGATCCTTTTGCAGGCGGAACTTCAAATTCTATTTCAGGTATCTTGATGGTGGCATAATTGGTACAAACAATTTGACGATTCAAATCACATGGTTTTTTAATTTGAGCTGTATAAATGACCCCATAATCTTGGATCTTTGAGGCTGGTTGAAGCTCTGCATTTTTAAAGTTACAGTTTTCACAAGCAAATGAAGATACAACCACGTCTTTGAAAAAGGGAATTTTGGTCAAAAACAGTCGTGTGATGCCTTGTTCGTGACAATTCATACACATACTTTCAATTTCTGTTATTTCTGGAACGTCGTCATCAGCCGTAATGTCCCTGAATAACGGTTTTGTGGCGCCTTCCATGATTTCTGTCATAGAAGATGAATAGATATAGCCTTACTGAGAACAGCTCAAAATTTTATAATGATGACATGTGAGTGAAATCGTACGAACTTGATTAGTAATGTCACCGGAAGCGGAAGTAGAAGTAATGACGAAGTGTCAATTGAAATGCCTTGTACAAGTTGTACTTGCTTTAATGTCTTGATAACTTGTTGTTACACATAATCTACTTTTTTGTGCAGCAACAGCAAAATTGTGAAAACAATGATATCTGTGATCAAATGAAGTGATGATCAAGGTTGTTTTGATGGTCAAACTATTGATTAGCCCTCAAATCATTGACCTATATGAAAAAAGGCTAGAAAACAAACTGGTTAGCTTTCTAATTCTAGCCAGAACCGAGCTTCTGATAAAGTTTAATAAATAAATAAAGAAATTGACCATACAGGTCGATGACAAGATCCCAATTTGCATGTAGAAGCAACTGATTAGAATCTCCCATAGCATCATTATTAATATCTAAATCGGTCTTACTTTCCCTTAAGGGACAGCTTTGCTAAATACCTTAGTATCAGAAACAGGATTTTTTTTATCTAAGCTTATATCAGTGATAGTGTTCAAGCCTTCAAATACACTTATGTCCAGAACTATTGGCGTTTGAAAGTTAAAATGACGACTCGTCATTTCTTAAGAAGTAAAAAAAGAAAGTGAAATTCCAAGTTTGAGTTATTTTTGATGGAGTTTGGGTGACTTTCGTACCATTCTAGTACTTCTGAAGACTAATTTTAACATATTATCAAGACCCAAATCAACCCTCGAAATTGGCGCACCATGGATGTCTTAACACTTGGAAACCTAAAAAGTAGGCTAATTTACTTGTCCTGTGTAGCCTTCTCGTTTTTACTCTGTGCGTTTTTGCAGTTGGACGTCAAACTTCAAGGATGTTCACTGAACTTTCAAGTGCCTGCCCCTTACACAAATGACACTTAGGTTTGTTTGTGTGATTTTGAACTTTGAAGCCATCTTTCTATTTACTGTGTATTATGATTTAGACACATTATTATCAGTTGAAAATGATAAGTGTTATTGACGTCATTAAAAATTATCTTTGATAATTATTAAATATCGTGTTTACATGTAAACAATAGTTCATTCAACCTATTAACGGTTAAGAAGCAGTGTGTGTCGGTTTTGCAAAAACAGGAATTGCATTGTGATTAAATAATCCCGGCACCAAGTTTTAACAAAACACACCGAAATTTTTTACAAGAAACATAAGGGTATATAATATTGTTGTTCACAATACTTCTATAAAAGAGAATAAAAAATACATTTCACGTTTATTGAGTTTGAATGACTTGTGCTGTAGTGTAACTTGGCGCATCTTGCAGACCAATTTTCAGTAAGAAATAGTCTTTCTTCAACACCTATAGCATAATACAAGATAGCCGTTACTAAACCCATACCTCAAAATAACCTGTCCCTCAAATGTAAGAGATTTGTACTTCAGAATAAAGAACCTGCTTAAGACTTGTACCCCAGAATAAAGAAAATGGGTAGGAATTGTACCTCAGAATATAGAAAATGGGTAAGAATTGTACCTCAGAATATAGAAAATGGGTAAGAAATGTACCTCAGAATATAGAAAATGGGTAAGACTTTTACCTCAGGATAAAGAAACTGGGTAAGAAATGAAATTAATGCAGTTTTACGTCCTACTTTTCTGCACCAAGAAACTGAAATGATATTAAAGATAAATACGGTACTAAGAGAAGATAATTATACCACCCGGTATCCATACAACGTGTTTTTCTCGACTTATTTATAGATCAAACATTGTACACGAAAATAGGTGAGGCATTCTGCCACCCTTGCCGAGTTGGTTGCTCATGAAATATGGGTCAAAGTGAAGGATTCATAAAGAAAATCGAAATAAACCAATTTTAATTATTTGGTAGAATATCTGAGGAAACCTCTAAGACATAATTTTTTTTCCCCTTTCTTTTAACTTTGACGAAATTCGGTGTTGAATCCATATATCCACGAAAATAGGTTACACCACGTGTTCCATTCATCTGAAATTAGTTAAATTTGAATGAAATACTCTTAAAATCCGTATTTTTTTTTTTTAACTTAATGAAGTCTTCAAGAATAGCACCCCAAACTCGTCACATATGCTCAGCAGGTCACTTAAAACAAAACTTTAGAAGTCGAGGTTGGTTGGTTGGTAGATGATAAGTTAACGTTCGCTTCCAGTAGATGCTGATATTGCAAACTAGTTGTTGGTAGTCGTAGTAGTTGGTAGTTGGATTGGTTCAAATTGGATGATTCTGTGTTGTTGGTTTGGTTGTTGATTCTTCGTTAGAACTGGTTGGGTCGAATGACATGGCGGTGAAACTCGGCCCTGGATGGTGTGGTGTGAGTTACACGATCTCCTTCATTCTTCCAAACTTTCTGATCATGGTATTTCTTGTTGATTGATAGTCGAATGGTAGTCGTTGGTTTGGTTTGGTTAGATGTCGATCGAGTCAGTCAGTAGACTTAAAAAGCCAGCTGGTTTGTACAGCGGCAAAACTGGGCAGAGCAGTGAAGCCATGCCTCTTCCTTCCCCCTCTTCCCCTTTCTGCAAAAAGCCAAAGCTGGTTTCGACTTTCTTCAACCCATTCCACAAAAATAAAACAAAAATCACTCCAAAAATAATAAGTGGTGCTTTCTAGTTTGAACCTTGGTCGAACAGTTTAAAGTTTGTTAGTGTTCCATTAACTGACATCAAAGATTAATTATTACAATAAAAATATTGTTTATTTGTCAAATTAGTATATTGCAAAACAAACATGTTGACATTTTTGTTATCAGTACCTTTCACCCCTTGGTATAAAAATAAACTCTTCTGATTTAAAATGGATTACTTCCCCTGATAACAGGATCGAGGCTATCAATGGCTGCAAGCAGCTGATCGGTGACAAGTCATCACACATTTTCAACGTAAAATGCCGTAAAATCTTAAAGTTGTTTTAAGAAAACTCAATAGTTTTGTAAAAGCCTATCAACATGTCTGGCTTTTTCCATCTAGAGAACAAGGAGGTGATCCGTATTAAAGTGAAGGTACGTTGGAATTTTATTTTACTAAAAAATCAATAAATTCCAAAAATGGAAATGTCATAGATTCATTTATGAATAGTAGTAGCCTAATACCTAAAACAAATATGATGATCCAGAGGTAAAAGAAGGGAGATATTTGAACATTTAATCTTGTATAAAATAAATTGGTATATTGCGTCGATGCAATGTATCTGTCTGAAATAGCTGAATAAATAGGTGTACTTTTCTCTGCCATGATTTATTGGCATTGAAGACATAGTGCCAGTGCTTTCCTCTAATATTCCACTATCAGGAATCCAGCTAAGGTATTCTCAGCTAAGGATTTTTTTTTTTTTGATTAAACAGGTGCACCATTTTGAAAGTTGATTTATTACTTGACTGTGTTTTTAGAATGTCTTCAAAAGTAATAGAAATGTACAAAAATTCCTTCAAAAATATCTCAAACTAGGAATTTCGTTTCATGGCAGTGTTACATGAAAAGACGATTCCTCTTTTTAACTTCCAAACGCGGATAATTCTGGACACACATGGATTTGAAGGTTCAAATTCCAATAGTGAGCTGTGAACACTATTACTGATTGGCATAGCTGAAAAATTCCCATTTTAGAGACTAAGGTATGATTGGTGGAATTGCAGCAACCACAGACGTCTAATTGAAAATTGGAAAGGTGCAAATTGATGTTATCAGTTTCCCCGATAACCATAAAAAAATTAGAAATCCTCATTACAATCCTTTTAAGAAACTGAATGATTTATAATAGGAGAAAGTGAATGATTTATAATAGGAGGATGTTTACATGTGTTGGTCAGATTAATTGCAGAGCTTCGTGATATAAATATTGCATGGTACTGGTATTTATTAAAGTGTTTGTTTAACCTAGTGATTGTGATTGGAGCTCATTTCACGGTGTCTGGATATGTTTCAAATATACAATCTCATCAGGTTTCATAAGGTCTCATCAGATCATACATGTGTAATCTACCAATGTTGTCGGGTTTCTCCCTCTTTTGCATGTTGTCCACCGCTCTACTGACAGGATACCCAATTCTACAGATTTTTTGTTTTTTTCTTGACCAAATTTTCACAGGACGTACTGTTTTCAATGTTCAAATTCTCTACCATAATATATCATCAAAATACCTATCATTACTTGTATCTTGATTGTGCAGTTATTTTTGGATATAGTGGTTAAGTTTTGAAAATTAGACTTGATGTGTTTGAGCACAGAAAGATCTCACAGTAGGAGCTAGAAGTTTGGATTTGAATTTTCTACAATACTTACCATATGAAGAATATCAACTTATCTAATGGTTTATCTCATGCATGGTTTGAGATGAATAACTTAATAAAATATCTTTTAAAGGATGTTTCTGAATCCATTATAGTGAATTTCCGTCAATTTAAAACTGTTATTAGCAATAACAAAAAATTCTCTCTGTTATCAAATAAATAATTAATCATAATGATTTTAAGGTTGACATTCAGTGTATCTTTAACAATTATGAATATTATTAATTATAATAATTTAAATTTGTAACATCCTTTATAATTCACCAGACAGAGCTGCATTTATATATCATAATACATCAAGATGCATAGTGAAATATGTAGAGCTGCATGTCTATATCATAATACATCAAGATGCATAGTGAAATATGTAGAGCTGCATGTCTATATCATAATACATCAAGATACATAGTGAAATATGTAGAGCTGCATTTATATATCATAAAACATCAAGATGCATAGTGAAATATGTAGAGCTGCATGACTATATGATAAAACATCAAGATGCAGAGTGAAATATGTGGCTTTATTGTAGATAGACAAAATTGTTGATGTGCTGTATGCTTTTACAGAATTGTGGTACAATAGTTATCATAGAAAGAAAGACACATCCTTTTTTTTTTTTATAAGG